TTTTTTTTGTAGTTTTTCGATGGGGCTGAGTTTGAACCCACCACCTCCAGCATATGGGACTGGCACCCTCTCCTTTGAGCCACAGGTGCCACTCTAAATTTATCCATTTCTAAATCAGACCTTCTGAATTGGTCTGTTATGTATAGAAAAGACTTTTCTATTCTAAGATAAGTTTTTTAAATAACTCTATTTTCCATTTTATAATCTCATCCATTACATACAAATTTTTGATGCTTCTAAAGTATATTTTGGTGTAAGACATAATGTATAGAAGTCCAACTATATTTCTTTCATGAGAGGCCATTTGTTCCAGTGCCATTTTATTGCATAATCTGTCTTTCTATGAGTTTAAAATGTGTGTCTTCATGAATTCTAAATTCCTTACATATTTTGTTCCATTTCTGAATTTAATTTTACTTCCTTGCTTTGTGTGGCCATTTCTCTGCTTGTGACAAAATATTTGATTTATGTAAAATCAGAGAGAGAAGGGGGAGAGAAAATGAGGCATTTTTATACACTTTGGTTTATAGAAAGAGCTCCAGGATTTAAAATAATAATAATAATAAATAAAATAAAAATTCAGATCATGCATCACTTTGCTTTTTAAAAGATTTGTCAACAATTTCACATGATGAATATCTGTGACCTCATAGTTTGAAGACATTCAAAATAGAACAAAATGTCTTGTTTTAAAAAATTAAAAATAAACAAGTAATTAAAATGTCAAAGTCAAAGCAGTGGCTCATGAAGACACGGACACCTTTTTCACTTCTTTTTCTTTCTTCCATCATTTTCACTTTGATGTATTTTTTCCCCCATAGGATGAAGAAACTTTGTGAGCTCTATGCAAAAGTTCTAGGATCCCAGGAAGCTCTGAAAGTAAGGTTACTTCCCAACCCTTTTCTGAGGGAGAGAGATCTTGCTTTGCTCTCAAGGGGCTGGTGGGGATAAGTTCTTGCAAGTGGGGCCCAAGAGCTCATGTTTTCCCTGCTATATTTGCAGAGGGGTCTGTGCAGGACTGATCAACTTATAAGTGGTCCCAGAGAGTTGTGGGCCCTGTCTGTGCTAATGGCAGGCAGGGACCCTGCAGCATGTTGCAGTTTAGGTGGTACTGCCTTGTCCCTAAATTCAGAGTTCTTCCTAGAGCAGTGCATTCAGCCACTCTACTCCTGGTTCTGTCAGGGTGTAGAAAAGGGGAGCTTCTGCTGCCTGTAAGGAAATCCTAGACCCTGGCAGAAAAGTGCTTTCTTTTTCCCTGGTGATCTTGCAAGGAGACAAGAGTCTCATTCATGTACAGACACCTAGACCTACCCTTACCCTCCCCACTGAGATAAAATAGAATGACTGCCCCCCTCCTGCATGTCTCCTTTTCTGCCTTGTTTCACCCTCGAACATGAGGGATGGAAGGAAGACAGGCTGATGGGCTCAGCTGTGTCAGCTGAGTTTCCTAGATACCTTTGAAAGTAGCCTGAGGAAACAGTGATCTTCAAATGGATCGCGTTGAACCCCAAGGTGGTTAAACGCCCGATGGAGGTAGGGTAGGAGGCAATGGGTGACAGTCAGAGGGCTCAAGGTGCTGATAACAAAGAGCCATAACCACCTCCATCAACACTCAAAATGATGAAGTGGTATTCTAGTGACATTCACCAGACTGCTGAGTTTCTAGTGTTTTGACATGGATTTTGTCACCTTTTGAAAGTGATCATTAAATCCCATTATCTGTGAAGCATTTAAAGACAGGGAAGACCAATGTACAAATGAGCAGTTAAAGTGGGAGAAAAATCTAATGAGGGAGCTGAAAATGTTTAACTTGCTAAGCCTTTTTTTTTTTTTTTTTTTTTTTGAGACAGAGCCTCAAGCTGTCCCCCTGGGTAGAGTGCCGTGGCATTACAGCTCACAGCAACCTCCAACTCCTGGGCTCAAGCGAGTCTCCTGCCTCCGCCTCCCAAGTAGCTGGGACCACACGCGCCCGCCACAACACCCGGCTATTTTTTGGTTGCAGCCGTCATTGTTGTTTGGCGGGTCCGGGCTGGGGATTCGAACCCGCCACCTTAGGTGTTACGTGGCTGGCGCCTTAGCCGGTTGAGCTATAGGCGCCGAGCCGCTAAGCCTTTTAAATCCAAATCTCTGTAGTATATATCATGATCTAGTAGAACAACTATGTAGTTTAATCCTATTATTGTAATAATACTTATCCTTGCTCAACTTTGGAGTGGCTTGCTTCCTCCCGGTCAAATTGTTGTGGCTTTTGAATTTGTCATTTCTGTTCACTACTTTAAAGGAAGATCCCTCACCCACTCCATTGCAGATGGTATATAAGGTGAAGCATATGCTCTTGAGGTTTTTTGGAGTTTTTTCTCAACAAATTAACTACAATAATTCATTGGTTTGGAGAGAAACATATTAACGAGGAATGTGCTTTATTTCACCTTTTTGCTTTCATATACCATTTAGCAAGTTTAAATTATAGACACCACCTCCAGGATCAAGGACAGCAATTAAAGTAGCAAAACCAAAAATACAATACATATACCCTAAAAAGATTACTTAACAGGCTCGGTGCCTGTGGCTCAAGTGGCTAAGGTGCCAGCCACATACACCTAAGGTGGTGGGTTTGAATCCAGCCCGGGCCGCCAAACAACAATGACAGCTGCAACCAAAAAATAGCCAGGCATTGTGGCGGGCGCCTGTGATCCCAACTACTTGGGAGGCAGAGGCAGGAGACTCATTTGAGCCCAGGAGTTGGAGGTTACTGTGAGCTGTGATGCCATGGCACTCTACCCATGGGGACAGCTTGAGACTCTGTCTCAAAAAATAAATAAATAAATAAAAGATTACTTAACATCTATTTCAAATTATTAGTTTTTTGTTGTTGTTGTTGTTGTTTTGCTTAAAAATTTGGCCCAAGACACCTCCTGGGCGAAGGGCTCAATTACAACTTGGACTTTCCTAACAAACACAAACAATGTAGCCTAATCATACCCTTGTATGATTTCAAGATTTTTTTCTTTTTTTTTTTTTTTTTTGAGACGGAGCCTCAAGCTATCCCCCTGGGTAGAGTGCCATGGCTTCACAGCTCACAGCAATCTCCAACTCCTGGG